TGCCCGTTTCCAGAATACTGGGGAAAGACATGGCTGCTTTAGTGAGTTGTAGCCAAGTGCAGTGGATGCATTTGTAACATTGTACAACCTACTGATTGATCCTGGTTGGACATGCCATTTGGCCACAGCAGTACATTACCTTGAATTCTGTTTTGGGGTATTATAATCTAGGATGGAAAGTTTGGAACTGGCCTGGATTGCTTCAGTTTGTCATTCAGGTGACAATGCAAGCAATTGGAGTGTTCTTAAATGTTTAGCTGCCGAAAGACCTAAAAATGTTTCAATAACCTAAAAATGTTCAAATGCTAAAAATGTTTCAATAACCACTTTATTATAAATAAGCACGTTTTTTAATAGGTGTCCCATAGTTTCAGTTCATGATATGCTCCCACAAACAGAAATGCTCCACTAAAGAGAAAAAAACTGGCCTACCAAAAATGACTGGACTATAAATACCAATTTTCCATCGTTCATACTGACTGGCAATGAGATCAGAGTACAACAGCACCTGACAGTCCCCACATTCCTCACTTCTGTTCTTCCTGTTACCTTCCATATTTTGAGGCACAATCTAGGTTAATTCTTATTCTAGAAAGCTCTAAATCAATAATGAATCTCCACGCTGTCCATGAAACTGTATGTTCCTGTGCCACAGCATATTCTTTTCCTTGATGTTTCCTCCATTTATTTCTCCTTCAAAATTATTCCAACGTCACTAGGAGATTCTAAAATGGTTCTCTTGCCTTTCTAAATACTTCAGAGCTTTCTCAGGATCTTTTCCAGAGATCGATGTCCTTAACAGCAATTCAAACTCATTACTTTGGGGACTTTTTCCTATCTTCATATTATTGTATTTAGTCATCATCAAAATTATAGTAAATGTCAAATTTTTTCTGTTTACACTGGACATTCGAGAATGGAAGAAAAATAATTACCAGTTTGCTTTCTTTTAAGCCACTAGCTAATTTTGATTTTTGCTGGTGGATGTATTATTTGACTGACTAGTTTTGGATGTCTCATTTCCTATTAGAATTTGGTTAATAGGACCTTTGGACTGATGTCTTCAGCAAATAATTAATCAAAGTACAATATGGTTAAATTTTGATTTAGTTTATGCAATGCATGTAAAGATGGAATGTTGAGGTTTTTTCCTCTTTGGTTTTTTGGGGAGTAATTCATAATCTTTACTAGCCACAGCATATTCAGCCCCTTAAAAATATACCTTTTATTGCTTTTGCATGATGACTTGGAGTGGAGGTAAGGCCATAATCTACTCTGCCGTCTTGGAGTATGACTATAACTGTATTTGTACTGGGTCTTCCAAGGCCTTTCCCAGAGATTAAATTCATCTCTTGAGTAAAGGAAACCAATTGATTGTAATGGAGTACACATTTTGTATTCAGAAAATTCCAGAACCCACAAAACGTCCTTAGATGGGACTTGTATAGTCTTCTGCTTGTGATCTTGGTGAGATATTATCAGCCACAATGTTTAATCATGGCTTTGGTGATTCCTAAGCTTAGGTTTCCATGCATTATAGGACTGAATCTCTCATCAATTTAAGATCCAGGGTTAGAAATCACTAGATCAGATGGACTTATTTACAAGACTGCTTCTTAAACGAGTTTGAAGTTCCCACCTATTCTAGCATGCCATTTCCATAAAAATATATTCCAAATATATTCCATATATTTCCTACTAGGCCTGGCACCATACATAAAAGGAGCCAGTGTCAGGGTAATTCCTCTCTCCCCCAACTCTGCTAAATTTCAGATTTCCATTAATACGCATAATATATTTTAATTTATTTTTCTTAAAATGGGAAAGAATGCAATAGGATACCAAAAGTTTTATATATTTATAAATTTTATTACAATCCATAAAGTATGTATTTTAGGTAGTAAGTATATCTTTCCTTATTTTACTATTAACATATTTACACTGAGGTCTTGTAACAGCATGGTTTGTAAATTATTTGTAAAACAATAAATTTTACTTTTGTAATCCATTAGTCTAATCCCTGTTTTAATATTTAAAGCAAACAAGTCAAAACCATTTTCAGGGCTATCAAAAAGAAGAAAATTGGATAATCGTGTATATAAAGTAACAGAAGCTGAAACAAGCATTAATAATAATGTTTTCCCCATTAGCAGTCCTTACTCCACATGAGATAGAGCTATTTATGTTCTCCACATAGAAATTTCCTTAGAACAGTAATCTTTTAACCCTAGCAAGTTTAAGATGTGTGTGGACTTTGATTCCCAGAATTCTAGGAATTGAAGTCCACACATCTTAAAGTTGCTAAGGTTGGGGAACACTGCCTTAGAACACAAGTAACTTTTAAATGTCTATCATTCTTTATAGAACTACTCTTACAACTAACAGAACCGCTTTCTCAAACACCTACATTTATGCAAAATAAGAGATGGGGAAGCTGTGTTCTTCTGGATGCTACTACTGGATTCCAACATTAAGCCAACACATTTAAGACATAGACATTATATATATTCTAATTCATAATTTAAGCCACTTTCTGCAGTCACCAAAACATTACCATACATGCTCATGTATAAGCCATACTGCAGATAAACTGACCCTTAAATTTTTTGTATGTTTTAATGTTTCACAATTGGTTTATCTGCATGTGGTGTATTTTATGATGCTTTGGTTAAAAATTCAAGGATTGACTTATCTGCAAGTGGGCTTCTACATTGGTATATATGAGATATAAGGGTACTTTAAAAATAACATTGCCACATATACTTGCAGAACCCAACCAAATTTTGGAGCTTAATTTTGGCTCCCAAAATTCGTGGTTTATCCATGAGTATCTACGGGATTCTAAGATCAAGTATTTAGCCTAAGAAAAGTTGCATATAATTGATATACACTTTTTCCAGATGTTGCAAATGCTATGTACAAGGATAAATTTCACTTCCTCTTTATTCTCTCTTGTCCATATAATATAGTTGCATCAGGCCTAAGACCACATATAATTTGCTGCTTCTTTCCCATTTCTGAACACAACTTGTATTCCTTGTAGCAGAGAGAATGTGCAGAACTTGGTGTCTGGAATAAGCTGTGTACAGATATGGGCAAAGCTTGTGAAAAATATCTAGGTACTGGCTATATCTCACTTTAAAAGTCTTCTCACCCACTAGCAGCCAAAGATTCCAATTGTTTCTGCAGAGGAAAGCTTTTGTAAAGGAAGATAAACCTCTGGCCCTGATAACAGTCTCTGTCCAAAGTCCATATAGGAGCCAAGTGATTTCCATATTAATCATGCTTCTCCCTTACAAAACAGGGAGAGAAAACTTTCATGTTAGCAGAAGATAAACTTTCAAATCACAAACGGCCATTCACACAGAACAATAATGAAAAAGAACCAGCTGCAAGGAATAGGCACATGTTTGAATATGTCGACTTATTTTCAACTTACGAAAACTGCAAAACTTAAATGCCTGTGTCCAGAAATGATAAAAGAGGTGAAAAGATGAGGAAGATCAGATGAAGCGTCTGCTCTTTATCATTAGTTGAAATTTAATAATTAAAAGCCTTGGAAAAAAATAAACTCTGCTTTATTGCTCTCGCTCTATCTCTTAATTAATATTTACCTTTTTTGTTTGATATCTCATCCAAGCAACATCAACAGAACCCATGCTAGTCACCAAGACAACTTTGAAGTAATTTGTATCCTGAAAACTAATTAAAATGTTTTATGAAATGCTGACATCTTGTATAATTAGGCTATTTTCAATTTTATTATTTTTAATCCACCAATACAGTACAATAGCAGCTGAAAAAATTCCTGTTCCCTGATTTAAGTCACTTTGAGAATATTTAAGAGTGGATTAGATTAGATAACTTTTTGACATGAAAACTCTGAGCTCCGTGCAATTGACAACAAGACATAAATATTTTCCTCTGGAATCAGCAGCAACCGCCTACTGTACTGTACGCCAAAGAAGTAATTGATTGGCAAAATCGTTCTGCAAATTCAGAGCTCTCCTTGGCATTTTTCAATATGGTAGCTAATTTGATAACTAAAAACAATTGGAAAAAAACATTCCCCTAATTTTTCTCTGCCTGGATGTTCAGCTCCTTCCTATCCACCCAGGGGGCATCAGTCCCAAGTCAACATATAATTTGTTCAGTGGTGGGCTGCAATTTTTTTTAACAAGTTCTCTGGCTGGGTAGGCGTGGCTGATTATTCATGTGACTGGGTAGGTAATGTCACTCATCACACCCAGCCCCGCCTCCCAGACACTCGTTGCAAAGGAAGAGGTAAGGTTCAATTGGTTGGGGCTAATCCCATCATTGGCTGGCTCCACCCCTGCCCATTTTTCAGCCTGTTTTGGAGCAGTTTTCAGGCCATTTTCCAGGCCAAAAACGGCCCAAACAAGGCCTGAAAATGGTCCAAAAACCAGGCCTTTTTCAGGCCTTTGGGGGGCTGAAAAATGGCTGAAAATGGCTCAGAAAAAGGCCCCAAAACCAGGCTGAAAAACGGGCAGGGGTGGGGGCCAGCCAGTGGTGGGGTTTGCCAAACTGCATGTGATCTTAACTACCAGTCCACGAGAACCGGTGCGAACCGGCAGCAGTCCACCTCTGAATTTGCTGCTTATTGCTTCTTAATATTAAGAAAATATTAAGTACATTTACCTTCACATAATATATTATCTAGATATTAAGAATGCATAAATCCTAATAATAATAATAGGATCTGGGTTCCCATGACACTACCACGCTTTAGGCATAAAGATGGCTAAAAATAAATCAATTCCATGGGTATAGGAGCACCTTTACAAAAAAAAACCAACCAATCAGAAATGCCCACCTTAAAATATGTTCTGTAGCCAAATTATACCAGCTAGTTACAAACTAGGTTTTTACTTAGAAATTTCCTTCTTATCACACTTTCTGATAAGAATTTTTTCATGGTCAGTCATTTGTATGCCACCTATTCAAGAAATTCTGGAGGAATACGATATATATCCGAATCCAGATAAGCGCTTTGCAGACTTTTTTCACTGCTTGCTGCTCAGAGGGGGCAGGTTAAGTCCGAGGTGACGAAGAGTCTGGAGGAAAAAAGGAGGGGGAGGGGCCACCAATAGAGTGCGAGAAGAACAGCAACCATCAGGGAGGAGAAGCTGGTGGAGGTGGAGATGAAGCTGCAAGCGGAACATCACTTGTTGCCGTAACCGGAGCTTTTGCATCAAATGTTCCTCCAGAACCTATCAAGAGGTTGGGAAAGGAAGAGAAGGAATGTTATTATAAATAATTCCTAGGTCAACCTACCTACAATCATTATGTCAGGATTCTGGCAGTTAGCCCAATCGTGAGTCTCGAGCCAAACTTCCAAAACTTCAAAAGGATTTATTGGGAGTTAACATGTCCGGCACTGCCGACTCTGAGGCACATAATTCATTGTCACCCTTGGCCCTGGTTTTCTCCCTCACCCTCTACATGTATCGTAATTCATATTCTCCAATGGGACACATCCATAGCCAAGAGTCATCAATCATGTTCTCCAGTTAGATATTTGCGCGGCAGAAACTTCGTTCACCAAGTTACTATCTTTGAAAAACTATTTATGGATTGCACTTTCTGTTTGCAAGCTGCCGCACTGCTCCCCCCTCCCTTTCTGTTGGCAACTCTAAAAAGATCATAGAAATATTTTATGAGTTGACACATTATTTTACAGGTGGTCCTCGACTTGCGATCATAATTGAATTATGGTCGTAAGTCACCGTCATTATTAAGTGGGCTAGCATGTGAGTGGACCTGATTTTTTTTTTACAATAGTTGTTAAGTGAATATATTTTACCCAATGGGTGTTTTTTTTTGGATCAGAAAACAGAAGTAAAATGCTGGAAACCAATTTAAGAAAAGTCAAAAATTGTGTCCCGAAAAGGGCTTTTTCAAAAGGCAACTGGACTTTGTTTTTCCCTTGAAGATGTTTTGCTTCTCATCCAAGAAGCTTCTTCAGCTTCTGACTGAAAAACAAAGTTCAGTTGCCTTTTGAAAAAGCACCTTTGGGACAACCATGACCTGGATGACTGAGAATCTCCACAGATGTCAAAAACTGTGGTAATGTGACTGCAGGATGCTGTGAAGAGCCATTAAGTAAGCTGGTTGCCAAGCAACCAAAATGCACGACAGTGCCTGGAATGTCCCACAGTCCTGTGACACTGTTTCATGATAGTTTTGTCAAAAAACAAGGCTTACGTGTGGCTTTCGTCAAAACTGCAAACCACTGGTTCGCTTAAAGAGCTTGGATTCACTTAACCATCATGTTGATTCGCTTAACAACCACTACAAAAATTCATAAAATCGGGTCAATCTCATGACTCCCCCTTTTTATGACTGTCACATCATACCACTCTAAGGGGCACAGGCTCCATTACAGTTGAATGTCGAGGACTATCTGCATGGAACGTCTCTACCAGAGGTGGTATTCAGCAGGTTATGACCAGTTCTGGAGAACTGGGAGCGGAAATTTTGAGTAGTTTGGAGAACTGGCAAATACCACCTCTGACTGGAGAGTTTACAGTATCCTTCCCCTGCCATGCCCACCAAGCCACACCCACAGAAGCGGTAGTAAAAAAAAATTTGAATCCCACCACTGGTCTCTACATTTCTCAGACTCCAGGATCAGCTTCTACCAACCTGCGTCCGAGGCGGAGTCTCCTCAGCAGGCATGAGAAAAGGTTCTCCAAGAACTGTTCCCACCCGAGAAGAATACACATGATCTCCTAGCACAGGGCTCAGGATCTGGGTCAGGTGTACCTGCATCTGGTTCCGGAAAGCTGCAACAAAGAACACAAGAGAAGAAGAATGACACCTAGAGCTGGCTATCCCCACTAAGAAACATCAGCTCCAGCTCCAATGGTTTGGCATGAGCTGCTAAGCTTTTCTATTTATTTTATTTGTTTGTCAAACATGTACAAGATAACAAATATAGGCATGAACATAAACATGACCAAAGGAAGTAAATACAGATAAATGGGGACAGTAAGACAGGGACAGTAGGCACGCTGGTGCTCTTATGCGTGTCCCTTTAAGGACCTCTTAGGAATGGGGTGAGATCAGAGGTGGTATTCAGCAGGTTCTGAGCAGTTCTGAAGAACCTGTAGCGGAAATTTTTAGTAGTTCGGAGAACTGGCAAATCCCACCTCCGACTGGCCCCGCCCCCATCTATTCTCTGCCTCCCGAGTCCCAGCTGATTGGCTGGGTCTTCTTTTATTGCCCTGCACAGGAGAACGGAGCTGGAAAGCAGGTTAGTGGGGTGGGGAGGGAATGGGGATTTTGCAGTATCCTTCCCCTGCCATGCCCACCACACCACACCCAGAGAACCGGTAGTAAAAATTTTTGACTCCCACCACTGGGTGAGGTCCACGGTAAACAGTTTGAGATTGAAGCTGTGAGGGTTTGAGGCCGTAACAAAAACTTTATAAGAGAGTCGACACACGACATCCAAAAATAAGATTAAATAAAAACAATAATGCTTTCTCACTCTCTCCCAATCCTCTGCCCCAAACTATGATCTACGCCGGGAGAAAAAAGGACTTGAAAGGCCAAAGCTTAAGTACATATTTTTTCCCAGCATGCATTTTGCAAAGCATTTGGAAATAAGTAGAGAAACAACAAAGTGATGGAACATGGGAAACACACAGGAAGTATAAGAACAGGTAATTTGGGGTGGAGTTGTAAGAGAAAGGGCAAAGAAAGAGCATTAAAATGAGAGACAGACAACAGAAACTAAGAGATACAAGAAAAACATAACAGTCAACTTGCCAGAAAAGCCTCATCCTTTATATAAATGAGGATACTGTCAAATTCCATTCAGTTTTTGGGAAATCAAGTACAAATAATAGTTTCTCTACAACCATGAGAATCACAACCTGATCCTTGTTTTTAAATGCCAAACTGCATGCTGTAAAGCTTTAACACATGTGGTTTGATCCCCAAAAAGGAGAAGATAATAAGTAGTCCTCAACTTACAACCGTATGTTCAAGATTATGATGGCCTCAAAAAATGGTGCTTTACAATCCATAAAGCTCTTCCAGGCATCATAAAATGTCACTCCCCATCTTGTGGTCATGTGACCAATTTCTGGTGCTTGGCAACCAGCTCTCCTTTACAACCAGTTGCCAAGCACCCTACAGTTATGTGGCCGCCATTTGCAATCCTCTTGGGAGGCAAGGAACGTAGCAAGCAGAGGGGATGGGGTGAACTGAAATCCTTTTGTGGGCTATAGTAACTGAGCGGAAACCATCCAGCTGAAAGATTTCTCCTTCATGCATGGGGGGGAGGGAAAATCCTAAAGATTTCAGCTCTGTTCCTGCATCCCTTTGAAGGACCTCCCCTCTGTGCACAGAGGGAAGGACAAGTCTCTTAGTCGGTTACAGGAACATTAGTGAGTGAAAGGGCTACCTGCCAGCAGGATTTCAGCTTCATACCAAACTGAATTCCTCCCGGCAGGCAGCTCTTTTGCTCCGTCTGCTTTACAATGCAAGAGACTGCTTAATGACTGTAATCAGAATGCTGGAATTGCTGTTAATGAGCAAAGCAGTCATGTGGGCGTCTTGCTTAACAACCGCTTTACTCAGTGACTGAGTTTGGGAATTGTGATCAAGAACTCCATCACTAAGCAATGCAGTCATAAGGGACATAGCCATGTGGCCGTGCCAACTTATAATGGCTGTTCCACCAATTCCTGTTGCTGCCATTAAGTGAAACCTGTATGGTCACAGCATCCCAGAGTCATGTGTTTATGCGACCTCCTGTAAGCTTCTCAAAGGTTATCAAAACTCAGCAGGGAAGGTGGCAAATAGCAATCACATGACAGCCATCCTAATTTTAGCTGGTTGCTGAGGTCCCACATAGTAATCATATGACTGCAGCGCAATTACAAGGACCATTGTTAAGTGCCTCTCATTCAGCACCATGACCTCTAACGGTCAGTGAACAAATTGACATTAAACAAGGACTACCCGTAATCCACTTTGCCCACTTTGGTCTATTGCCCCCTCATGCCCCCTCTGCCCTACTGAGGCTTTGTAACTCACTTGTCACTGGCTGCAGCTGCAACAGGGCACAGCCGTCCTTTGAGTCCAGCACTTTGTAGTATGTCAATGTCTTTTTTACCGCCTTTGTTTGGAGACTCTTACGAGAAGGGGAAGTCACTGGCACTACCTGTAATCCAGACAAACATCAGCATTAGCACATGCTCTGAGCACCTAGTAGACCACCTGTCACCTGCCTATAAACAAGAATCTAGTCAACTAACGGCCTGCACTAAACTGGTGCTAGATAAGAGTCAACAAAATTTAGAGGGGGGAGCTAGACTTGGATCTTTTGTGGTGAGGCAAGGATTCCAAACTGATAATGCATTTAACTCCGCCTTCCCCAGCTCTGCTTGCTCTTCTTCCACATCACCTAACTAAAACCTGTGTCCATGGCAGGAAGTGTAATCCCAGACTGGCAATCCTGGGATTCTTCTGAACCTGTTACCCTTCTTGTCCAGAACAGCAGCTATAAGGCTTCCAGAACCACTGTCCAGTATCCCTGCCCTTACCAGGTCAAAGCCATCAATGTCCACCATCTTGAGGCCTATATGAATTTCTCCTTCCATAGCTACTGGAGTCCTGGTAGTAACAGCACTGCAAAGAGAAGGATATCAGGCAATGCTTTGGAAACAATAGGGAAGGTGAATGAAAAAAAAAAGTTCCTTTAGGAAAAGCTTTCCTCAACTGATGCACTCCAGGTATTTGGATTGCAAATTTTCCAACTGAGGAAATGAAAGATTCCACACTTTCCCTTTCATACACCAAAAGGAAAACAGAAAATGTTTTCTCACCAGTAAGTAGCAACTGGATGTTTTTTCTTCTTACGCTGACTATAAAAATCTTGGATATATTGGGTGGTTTTGGGGCAGCTTGACAGCAGAACAAGTCCAGAACCTTCCCTATAAAATGCAAAGTCTTTAAAAAAATATCCATCCATTCTTTAACAGGAGCTATTAATAAATAGGGATTTGTTTGAGACCACTCAACTAATTTACAGAAGTGATGGGAACTGAACTTCGGACATTTTCCATTCTAAAATGCAGCTTGGGTTTACATCATATCATGAGTCATGGCTGGTTTGACCGATAGTCCTGGATAATCATATAACTGACTTGAATTTATTAACCAAATCAGACAAACTACAGGTAGTTCTTGACTTATAACCAATTAATTCCATAATTATGTTGGGATGATCATTAAGCAGGTCACCACATGACATACCCAATTTTATGACCCTTGTTGTGAAAGTCAGTAAGTGAATGCAATGGGCATTAAGCAAATGTGATGGCTTTTAAGCAAACACGTTATTTCTATTGGGCCATTTTTTTTTTGTTGGAAAACAGAAGTAAACACCAGTTTCCATGCTGGCTGGGAAATTCTGGGAGCTGAAGTCCCCAAATTTTAAAATTGCCAAGATTGGAGACCTGATTAAGCGCATCATATGATGGTCTGTGAAGAAGCAACATCGTTTTTAAAATTAAGCAGGCCTGGAGGCTAGATGATGGAAGAGAGGAATGTGTGCACATATGAAATCATGATGTCTTGATATGACTTTTCTCTATCACTTTTACATTTCCCCCTGGAACTACCGTGTTTCTCATATAATAAGGCCGGGTCTTTTTTTTTTTTTTGAGCCCCCCCAAAATGGCTAGGCCGTCTTTTTGGGGGTGACTTAATTCCCCCCCTTGCATCTTCGGGCGGGCGGGCGGTGGCGGCTTGGATGTTGACCTCGGCGTTGGTGGGGCACTTCGTATCGGGGTCAACGCAGGCAGCACCATATCCGGGTGTGCAACAAAAGTACTTCCTAATGGCAAGCCCCCCCACCATTCCCCCCCATTTCGCATGTTTTAATATAGGCCTTAATTTGGGGGGAGGGGCTTAATTTCATTTCATGCCTATAAAACATGCTGGGACTTCCTATTGGGGGAGGCCGTATTGTTGGAGAAACAGGGTAGGATTCAGCTACTTACTTTTCTGGTGCTTTGATCACCTGGAGATCTTGTGGGAGATTTAGATTCTGGCTTAGCTGTGGCAGAACAGATTGCAAAGTCAGGTCTTCTGGCTTGCCTTATTGGAGGAAAAGAGAGTTTATCAATGGCACACCTTCCAACCAAATCCCTTTTACCACTCCTTCGCTTGCAGGAGATCTTTTCCCCTTACCACTGGAAGTCTGCTTGTCCTCCAGATTAAAATTAATATCAGTTCCCAATTTATTTTAAGAGAACACCTGTTATCATCACGTCTCCTAAATTATTTGGAGAACAGTGCTAACAGAGCCAATATGCAAATACTTTCACTGATTTATAAATAATGTTTCATTTATAAGAAAAATATCCAAGGCAGCTGTCCCATAACCCATTCAATCACAGGACTGCATACCTGATACAGAGATACCACAAGGTTTGTTAATAGCCACGAGGGTACCTGAAATACAAAATTGAAAGGATAAACAGCAATGAGTTCAAAACAATTCCAGAACAGGCTAACAGACTGCTCCAAAATTCAAAACAATGCTACGGTGGGATTTTATAAGTCAGAGGTTATAGTGGACTTGGCTTTGGGAGAGTGGCTATCTTATTACACTTCACAGTTCCCATGGTCATTCCTTCCTTCCCATTTTCTTTTAAATTCAGGGGAAGGAGAGAGAGAGAATATGTACACATTTAAAAAATGTACAAAGTGACTCAAGTTGTATTCTACCAGTTTCCCACATAGGTAGTCCTTATTTAACAATCACAAATTGTTTGTTAAGCAATCACAAATTTCTTGTTAAGCAAAACAATCGCTAAGTGAAATCACAACCGTGCTAATGATTTTACTTCAATTTTCTCTGCTTTACAGTTCTATGAAGGTCATAAGTGGAACGCTTGGCCGTAAAGTTACTTTTTCATCACTGTGGTAACTGTGAATGATGCTAAATGAGGACTACTTGTATCAGCAGAAAGGATTCCACTGCAAATGTCTATGAATGGCAAAAATAGCACTTAACAATAGCAATAGCACTTAGACATATACTGCTTCACAGTGCTTTACAGCCCTCTCCAAGTGGTTTACAGAGGCAGCATATTGCCGCCAACAACAATCTGGGTCCTCATTTTACCCACCTCAAAAGGATGGAAAGCTGAATCAACCTTGAGCCGGTGAGACTCGAACTGCTGGCAATCGGCAGAATTAACCTGCAATACTGCACTCTAACCATTGAGCCACCAGGGTTCTTCTATGTTCTTTGTGACTATTTCTTTTTTTTCAACAATACAAAACCACTTCTGATGTTCCATTGCAAAGTTTAGAAACCTGCAAGTCCAAGTGTACATGCAGGTAGTCCTCGACTTATAACCATTTGTTCAGTGACTGTTCCAAGTTACAATGGCATTGAAAACAAAGCAAAGTCAATGGGGAAGTCAGATTCACTATAACAACCGTGTTACTAACTTAACAACTGCAGTGATTCACTTAACAACTGTGGCAAGAAAGGTCGTAAAATAGGGCAAAGCTCACTTAATAATTGTTTTGCTTAGCAACAGAAATTTTGGGCTCAACTGCGGTCATAAGCTGAGGATTACCTGTACACGAGATTCAACATAGTTGAATCATAGTTGAATTTACTCAGCCATATCATTTACTAAATAAACCACACTGGCTGAGATCACACAGCCAACATCAAGCCACATTGTAACTTAGTCTTAGCTCATATCCCTCCAATAGTCTTAAACAGAGTTGTGCTCCACCAAGCAAGAGGAAGCTTCCTAATCAAGTATGGTAGTACATTAAAACTCAATAAAACTCCAGTTCCCCTACTGGAGCCAAGCAGATGTCTCTGGATAAACCCAATGAGGTGAAGGCAAAAGCTTGCATACTCCTTTGCTGCTGGGTACTAATTTGGGATATTGTATGAAAGTTCTGTATAGTCTTCTGCTCGTTCAAATCTCCTGCCATTCGGTCTTAATGTTTGCCCATAACTTCCAGCACAAGGATGATCAATCAGGCCTTCCAAATATTGTTGTGGTCTACTGACCATAAACCCCAGCTGGCACAGTTAACCAAGGATGATGGGAATTTGAATTCAGCAACATCGGCAGGTTTCCCTACCATCGGCTCAAGAATGATGAGAGAAGACAACATACCGTCCGCATGAATTATAGATGTTTTCAGTAGTTTCAGCAACGAATCAGGCTCCAGTGACTTTAATGGCTTCAAGTAGCTTATTTTATTGGGGGTTTCTCCCATGGGCTTGTCTACTTTTTTAAGGTTCAGCAAGTGATACCTAAGTCAAATGAAAGTTGTTTAAAAAAACATTTTAAGCCATCTTCACATTATTTTTTTCCCCAGTAATTGTTTTTTTGTTACACATCAGGGGTGTCAAACTCTCGTCGTCACGGCAGTGTCACGTGAGTTTATCGGGACTTTTTTCTCCTTTGCTAAACCGGGCGTGGGCAAGGCCAGCACTTGACGCATCAGGCCTGCAGGCCAGGAGTTTGACAGCCCTGTCATAGATGAATATCTTACCACCATTAGATATTCTTGGCAGTTAACAACTGGAATTATGCTCATCAAAAGCTTCACAAAAGGTAACTGTGGAAGTCTAGATGTGGTTGTATTGCAGTTGAGTGTTTGGAACTGCAGAATAGCAACATCCAAACCACCACCAATTCCTTTATTGTACATAAGAGATCAAGTAAATGGATAGCAATACCACTTTAGACTTATATACTGCTTCACAGTGCTTTTACAGCCCTCTCTAAGCGGTTGACAGAGTCAGCCTATTGCCCCCAACAATCTGGGTCCTCATTTTACCCACTTCGGAAGGATGGAAGGCTGAGTCAACCTTGAGCCTGGTGAGATTCGAACTGCTGGCAGTTAGCAGTGAATTTATTTATTTATTGAATTTATATTGCCGCCTATTCGCCCATGACGACTCAAGGTGGCTCACAGAATTAGCCTGCAATACTGCATCCATGGATGCCCGGGGAGGAGAGAGATTTTAACATGAACACAATAAATGAATGAACTACTCTAAAGATTCATTCCATTCTAATTTTGAAACAAAGTTAGCATCATTGACTTCATCTGTCTCGAAATTCTCACAGGGCAGCTAGGTGTTTTATATGCAGCATGGCTGAAAACAGAGCTTTCTATATTTGTTGAATGAACAGATTTTAGAAATATCCATGCTTAGAAGTGGAAGCTTATGTAAATACATATCTTGAACTTTATCCCTAACCGAACTCTTCAAGTTCAAACCAGGAAACAAGAGCAAGCTGTATATAGATGAAACAGTTACGCTTGTTTCAAATTTTCTTAGACATACATTGAAATACAACTACAGCCATCCAATACTTTTCTTGCTCACTTCCCATCAATTTCATTCATGCATTTATTTGGAGAGGCAGAAAAAAGTAGCTCAAGGTAAATAGATTCCCATTTATAAACCTGGAGAAAGAAAAAACTATCCTGCACATCAGATGTGGCATTCAGCAGGTTCTGACGAGTTATGGAGAACCGGTAGCGGAAATTTTGTGTAGTTCGGAGAACTGGCAAATGCCACCTGTGACTGGAGATTTTACAGTATCCTTCCCCTTCCACACCCACCAAGCCACACCCACAGAACCGGTAGTGAATAAATTTGAATCCCACCACCGCTGCACATCAATGTTTCTCAACCTTGGTAGCTTGAAGATGTGTGGACTTCAACTCCCAGAATTCCCCACATTCTGAGGAACTCTGGGAACTGAAGTCCACACATCTTCAAGCTACCAAGGTTGAGAAACATTGATGCACATGCTGAACAAGGTTGGTGCATGCAATAAACAGGTCCAGTCGAAACCCAAAGGACAGCTGTCTCGAATTGTCTCTCGGCTACTTTTCCTCTAATAGGAGAACTTCCAGTCATTCCGGAGGTGTCTCCCCACATCCCTCTTTGCGAGATATGTAGGCAGGGGGTGCAGTCACTGAAGAAACATACAGGTAGTTGTCGACTTACAGCAGTTCATTTAGTGACCGTTCAAAGTTACAATGGCACTGAAAAAAGTGACTTATGACCATTTTTCACGCCGACGAGTTACATTTGGAAGCTTGACAACTGACTCACATTTATGGCAGTTGCAATGTCCCGGAGTCACATGATCCTCCTTTTGCAACCTTCTGACAAGCAAAGTCAATGGGAAAATTCAGTTCATTTAACAACCGTGTAACTAATTCAAGAACTGCAGTGATTCACTTAACGAATGTGGCAAGGAAAGTTGTAAAATGGGGCAAATCTCACTTAACAACGATTTCACTTAGCAACAAAAATTTCCGGCTCAATTGTGGTTGCAAGTCGAGGACTACTTGCATCTCTTGCCGGCACGAGTCATGCCTGTTGAGTTTCTGCTGTCACGCACTGCACCGACAGAAGTCCGGGTGGAAGAACGCGAGTTAAGGCGCTAATCGGCAAGTGACCGATTTTTCTTACCAAGCCGGCGGAGTAGTGGAATGCGCGCGCAGCCTTCCGCGCGCGCGGACCACGCGGCGGAGGCTCAGCCCGAACATCCCGAGCGCGCCGCGACCAGCCCGGAAGCATCTACTGGCCGGTAGACAAGGCGTGTGACGTCCGCATGAAAAGCAAGGTGCCTGCTGGGAGATGTAGTTTCTTTCGAAGGAGAGGCATATGACGCATAAGCACCACCTTTTTTCCCTGTTTAAAAAAATAAATCTAGGAACGCCCCCCCGCCCCCACAGAACAGCCATTGGCTGAAGTACAAATTCGCAGGAGGCAGGGCTCCAAGATCAACACGTTAACACATGCTAACGCGCATGCGCTCTTCGCCTTGGCGGTCTCTCTGTGCCCCTCGTGAAAATGGCTTCGCGCGCGGGACCTCGAGCCACGGGAACCGATGGCAGCGACTTCCGGCACCGGGAGCGCGTGGCCGAGCATTACCAAATGAGGTGGGGTGTGGGGTGTCGCGCTCATGCACCCATTAGGAAGCCAAAAAATTTTTTTTCTTCCTGTCTTTAAACCTGCATGTGGGGGGAAGAAATGCTGATATATATACAACAAACGGGTTTAGCATGCTGTTAGATTGCATTTGAATAATGAGGTTAATCATTAAACATTCATTTCTCCTTAATATTTTATTCTTGATGGCTTATCCTCTACGTCACAAGCCTACAAAAATACACAGCAGGTAGCTGTGGCAGCATTTAGCTCAGCTCAAAACAGCTAAATAGGATTAGTACTTGAATGGGAAATCCCCAGGACTCTGGGCTGTAGAGAAGCCCGAGAAGTTGAAAAGCTTTCTGGAAGAAATAGTAGAAATTTATTATTGCCCAGATGATGTGCCTTTGCGGTCAGCCAGATTTGGCTTGCCTGGAGGATCTCTTCATTTATAAGATGCTCTTGCAAGGTTTGAATGAGAAATATCCAACGAAGCCATTTCTGGAGATCTAAAGAGAGTTTATTAGGAGAAGAAAACAAGGAAAAACAAGGGTGGCAAGTATCACCTAGACAGGCTTTCAAATGGAACACATCCATTCAATCCAGCTAACTTTTAATGTCTTCGTTTTCACCACATTTCCAATATTTGTTTCGGCTGGAGAGGGAATCTGGGCCTCTTGCTTTGGTATGAATCAAGACTTCCTTGTTTTCTTGGCCATTGTCCTCTGCTTTTTGGAGTAGAGAAAATAGCTGCCTTAAAGTATATTTACTTGTAAACACAGGTTTTAGCAGGATTATTGTTTTATGCAAGTCACTTTCAACTCATGGAAACTTTCTGGAGGAGTCCCTACAGTCCTCATGGCAAGGATTTTTGATTTCAAGGGTTCTCTGATGATGTGAGTTTGGCCAACTGACCAAAATATTATTTGGTACTTAAGCCCACCTTACTTACTGATTTATTTATTGCATTTTTATCCTGCCTTTATCACTTTATAAATATATCAAGATGGAGAACATATATAATACGCCTTCCTCCTCCTCCTATTTTCCTGCAACAACAACCCTGAACTGGCCTGAGAGAGAATGACTGATCAAATCACCCAGTCAGCTTTCATGCCTAAGGCAGAAATAGAACTCAGTCTTCTGGTTTTTAGGCCAGCACCTTAACCACTCTGGATTGATACAGGAATTGACTTGGTTTTTACTATTGGCAGGGGTGGAGTTGAAGAGCCAGGGTACAAGTGGTTTAAGTAAATACTGTGTACAGCTGTCACACAGTGGTAATTTAGCTGGTGACATTTTTTCCATTGCAATATCATTACATTGGGAAAAACACTCACCGCATGTTTGCTTGTTATGCAATGATAAAAGCCCTGGGGCTTTGGGAGAAAAACATTTTTCATGAATGCCTCTTGACCTTTCTCACAAAACAGTTTTCCTCAAAGAAGCAAATATCTATCCTGTAATTGAGGAATGGGTAATGAAGCACCCATTGGTGATTTTTTTAAATAGCTGCCAGATTGTCTGCAGTAGCTGGATACTTTTTTCAAAAGATTATTTTAAATGAAATAAAAGGAAGTGCCCATTGAAAAATAAGTACCGATTTTATTTATACAGGTAGTCCTTGAAAATTGAGCCCAATTTTCTAGGCAAGACAGTTGTTGAGCGCAGGATCAAACTCACCCTTCCTCCTTCCATCTTTTCTCTGCTTTCCACAGCGTATCACTCAAGTCTGAGATTAAGAAGTTGATCTACATGCAGGTGGGCCTGTGGCTGTTGGTGGCAGCACAGATGTGCGTAGCTCACTTCAAACTTCTACCCCATGACAAGGTGGCCATGCCTTACCAGTGGGAGTACCCATACTTGCTCAGCATCATCCCTTCCCTCTTTGGCCTCTTCTCCTTTCCCCGAAACAATATCAGCTACCTGGTGATTTCCATGATCAGCACCGGCCTCTTCTCAGTGGCGCCTCTCATCTACGGCAGCATGGAGATGTTCCCGATGGCTCAGCAGCTCTACCGCCACGGCAAAGCCTACCGCTTCATCTTCGGTTTCTCTGCAGTCTCTGTCATGTATTTGTTGGTCGTGGTGGCAGTGCAAGTTCATGGCTGGCAACTTTATTACAGCAAAAAGCTCTTGGACTCCTGGTTTACCAGCACTCAGGAAAAGAAGAAGAAGTAAACAAGGGGTTGGCAGTCTCCTGAGGGAGAGGGAGATAGTGCTCTTGGGTTTCTCTCACAGTCATACTGAGCAAATGGGAGATCCAGGGGTTCCAGCTGCCTGAATGAACATTGAACTCTCGGTGTGGTTGTTTTCCAGCTTGTGTGATTTACAACTGGGAGTTGTAGGCTTGGGTAGTGTTGATTTGGAAGGGATTTAGGGGATCCTCCTTCCAAAGGAGAGGCAACTGATACCCTTTAGAGCAGGGGTGTCAAACTCGTGTCGTCATGTGATGTATCACGACTTCCCCCCCCTCTTTGCATGGGCGTGGCCAGCACGTGATGCATCCGGCCCGTGGACCGGGAGTTTGACAGCCCTGCTTTAGAGATAATGCTTTCCTCACTTGACTTAGGCAGATGAGACTCGCTGGAGTCTCCTGTTGGTTTGAACAAACCAATATCGAGCTATGCCACATGCACTTTAAAAGATTCACCGGTGCACAATAATTGGATCCTAGTAGGAATAGGAAAGCAGCACACAGCACGGCCAGGAACTCCCTCCCTCCCTCCAACTCCCACTTCAGTATATTATTGGGCCCAACCAAGAGATGTTTGCCATGTGTGGTCATGCTTCCCGGAGCAGCTACTTACCCTGGCGGTAAGAGCTGCCACCCAATTTTACTCTTTCTCCAGCCCTACCAACAAGGGACTGGTACATGCCAAGCACTGAGACCTCCCCTGCTGAATTTTCCCTTAGCTTGACTTGCCATCTACCCTGTCCAACCTCGGAGAACCACGTTCCAGGGACTGACTGCCTTTTGTTACAAGCTGTCTAGGTTGCCACCCATCTCTGCTCTCATGCTTGTGAACCAAATAAAATGCTACATTAAAAGTCTTGCCCCAGGATCTTTTGTGGATTGGAAGTGGGTGGGTGGTGGTTGTGATGGGCAGCTGATAGCAGTCGTATCAGTATTTCTCAGCTTGGTTACTGTTAAGGTGTGTGGACTTCAACTTCCAGAATTCCCCAGCTGGTTGGGGAATTCTGGGAATTGAAGTCCTCACTTCTTAAACTGGCTATAGTTGAGGAACACTGAGTTGCATGCAGCATATTTTTTTTCTTCTACTCTGGCTTCCTGGCAGATGTTCTTTAACTCAGGCAACCTGGTGGGCAGTGCAATGGGAAAGACTAAAGTTAAATTTAAGCAGATTCTTTGCCCCCCTCTCTCTTTTCTCTTTCTCCCTGCTCTTCGGGTTGCCAGCTAAGGGACAGATATTCAGGTGTATCTGTCAACGCATGTTTAAAAACACACCATGCACATATATGTAGTTTTCCTTGATGACAGCCATCAGATTTGTAGAGATGTTTTTGCCTCCACAGAGGAAGGAACAGCAGAACCACAATGGCGGATTTTAATTTCCTTGGGAGGGAGGATAATAGGAAGAATGGCAAAGAAGCGCCAAAATTATTTATTTTTCTTTTGGCTTCTGATAAAACACATTTACTTGATGGAAAGGGATAGTGTATATTTCAGGCAATCTTAAATTGCCACTCCAATGGATCAGCCTATCTGGGTTTGCAGAATGACAAGATAATGTGCTTGATTTCTCTGTGAAACGATGTTTTTGACAATGTTTAATACTATACCACCAATCTTAGGAGGCCAATGAAAATCCTGCCCTGAGGAAGTCGCAATTGCTGAGGTTTTTTTTTTTTTTAATGGTAATGGAGTACAAATTAATCCTTTGTGATTTTTTTTTCCTGTGGAGGAGCTGAAGAGCAACCTCTTATAAAAAACACAAGCAACAAGATAAAAGAATATATTTGTATGGTTCGGTTAGGGATAAAGTTCAAGATATTACATAGGATTTACTAGAAAGCTTCAAAATAAGATTTCAAATAGCACAGGTTATATTATGCAAGATGTCCCACACAAAATAGGTCAGCAAAAAAACAGAATGATAATGGGATATCTGAAGGGTGAGGCTGCCAGGGAGAAAAGGAAATAAGTAAAAATCAGTATATTGTTCTGTTCTAATTCTGCTATGTCTCACTCAGGCACATTACATAACTTTTTTTAAGCAAGAAAATATACATTCCATTGCTCCATCCCCACTCAACAATTCTTTGAGGTAGGATAAACTGGGTGGAGTTTCATAGTTGAGCAGAAAGATTTAAATCAAGATTTTGGTCTAAATGAGGCATTTCAAACACTAGATAATTACTTTAATTCTTATAATTGAAATAATTTCTATTTTCAAATAATAGGAAAGTAAACCAAATTCCATTTTGTTCTCAGTAATATGTTTTTTTAAAGTGGGTCATGTTGTGTCTTTTGCTTTATTTTATGGTTTGTTCCAACAAATTCAGCCATTTTACTATTAGACCTTTAATCCTTCGAAGAAAATGAATTTGCTCCTGTAACAGGTACACTTGAAGTACAGGATGGGATGACATCTATGTCCAGTTGTGTCCAACTTTAGGGTGCAGTGCTCATCTCCGTTTCTTGGCCAAGACATTTTCTGTGGTCATGTGGCCAGCATGGCTATACACCAAAAGCGCATGGAATTCTGTTACCTTCTCGCTGAAGTGGTACCTATTAATCTACTCGCATTCACATACTTTCGAACTAGGTAGGCAGAAGTTGGGACAAGAATGGGAGCTCATCCTACTGCATAGACTAGAGCTCAGGTTTCAAATCCAGGCTATCCACTTGCCAGCTGACAAGCTCACCATCTTTAACTGCTGAGCCATCATACCCTCTAATCTTCTAGCACAGGGATGGCAAACCTTTTTGTCGTGGTGGGCCAAAAGCACGTGTGTGCTGGCACCCACAATGCAATGCGTCCTGCCCCCTCTGCATGCAACACCCCTGCCCCACCCCCTTACCTGCACTGCAGATGCACGCACCTCCCAGCTGATTTTTGGCCTGTTTGAGGCCGTTTTCGCCCTCCCGGAGGCTCGAAGGAAGCCTCCGCAACCTCAGGAGGCCAAAAACGCGCCCATTTTGGCACTTCCGGTATTTCTGGAAGGCCCGTTTTTTGGCCTCCGGAGGCTGCAGAGGCTCCAGCCTCCAGAAGGGCGAAAAAGACCTCAAATGGACTGAAAATCAGCTGGGAGATACGCACATGTGCAGCGCAGGTAAGTTTGGCTGGGGCTCATGTGCCTGCACAAATGGCTCTGAGTGCCACCTGTGGCACGCCTGCCATAGGCTCGCCATCATGGTTCTAGCAGATCATTTATTTTGAAGTAGGACATCCTGAAGTATCCAAATAAATAAAAGACCTCTGTTGGAAAAAAAAAAAAACCTCACCAGCCTCCAAAGTCATTAAAAAGTAAAAAATGTTCCTGGTGTTCAAATGAAATCTAAGTCAAGTCTGCGTTTACTCAAGTTCAGCTCCTGCTCACTTCATGGACTCACCCCTGTATTTCCTGTTGTGAAGGAGATATTTGCCAGTGCCTTTTCCTGGGAAGTTATTTTAATTTATCAGCCTAGCTTACAACCCATCCAAGTATTACTATGATCTAATTGTTGTATATAGACATTTGCATACTCGTAATACTACGTTCCGATTGGACAATGACTACCGCCTAGCGATTGGTGGTTAACAACATGTTATGATTGGCCGCCTAAACGGCGGGAGGTTTAAAATGATGCCATTGGTTGCGAGCCGCGAGCAGCCGCTATAAAAGAGGCTGCCGCGGCTCGAGTTTAGTTGAAGTTACTGACAGTTAAATAAAGAGCAGAACTCAACTCCGGTCTCGAGTCTATCTTGTTCTGGCGATAGAACACTAATCTTTGTTGTTGTTGTTGTTGTTTTGGTGCCCTTCAGTTGGTACTGAGCCCCGGCGAGTGCCTGAACTCTAGTCCCCTGCAGTGATCTTGGCAAGCTTTCAGAAGTTGCCTCCTTCCTAGAGGGAGAGACTGGCATAAGCCCCCCAAGCTGGCTTCATGCCTAAGGCTGGGACTAAACTCACAGTCTCCGAGTTTCTACCCTGATGCTTTAATCATTACAACAAACTGGCTCTTTGGTTTAATGAAAATCAGCCAAGGCCAGCTAGGTGCAGCTATTTCAATTCAGATCGGGAGAGGGCAGTGATTTACCACTAGCAGGTGATTGTTATGATAAACAGAGAATTCTGCAGTGCATGATTTAAAAGTTTATTCCTGGAATGTTGTACCGTAATGCTAGGAAAGTGGTGGGCATTTACAACAAGAAAAGCCACATTTTTCTTCCACTGAAATACTTTAAAACGAGACGAGAAAAACTGCGGGCAAATGAAGCAATGTTTTGGCCGGGTTTTGGGTTGGGGCCAGGATGTAATGAGTCTGCTCCAGCTGGCTCTTAACCAGAGGTGATATTCAGTAGGTTCTGACCAGTTCTGGAGAAACGGTAGCGGAAATTTTGAGTAGTTTAGAGAACTGGCAAATACCACCTCTGACTGGAGATTTTACTGTATCCTTCCCCTGCCACGCCCACCAAGCCACGCCCACAGAACTGGTAGTAAAAAAATTTGAATCCCATCACTGCTCTTAACATGTTTTGTTACTTCTTGCCAGCCACCCTTTCCAGAGAGATAGTCAGTTTTTCCATGTCTACTGTCAGGATTCCAGCACTTACTTTTTGGGTACTGCGGTTACAGTATATATCTGTTCACAGTTGCTTTTTTGCATTCTTGAAAAAGTTTGTTTCTCTTGGGCTACTTGCCGGTTTATTCAGTTACAAGTGAAAACATTCTATTTTATGCTTTCTTTTATCCCATGGATTCCCTCCTCAACCCACAGTTGAAAGTACAGGTATATTCGTTTAGTGACCATTTGAAGTTACAACAACACTGGAAAAAAATGACTTATGACTATTGTTTACACATACAACTATTGCAGCATCCCTTGGTTACGTGATCAAACTGTGGACATTTAGCAACTGGTATATATTTATGATATATAGTGTCTCGGACTCATCACCTTTTGTGACCTTCTGACAAGCAAAGTCAACATACTGTTATCAACTTAACAACTGCAGTGATTCACTTAACAACTACATCAGTGAAGATCGTAAAATGGGGCAAAATTTACTTGACTGTCTTGCTTAGCAATGGCAATTTTGGATTCAAATGTCATAAGTCTGGGATTACCTGTCTAGAAGCAGACCCAGAAATACTGAAAATATACATGGACTTTAACGGGGAGCGATGACTCAGCGCTTAAAGATGATGAACTTGCCAGCTGGAAAGTTGAGAGCCCAGATTCGAGACCCTAGCATTGTATGACAGGGTGAGCTCCCATTACTTGTCCCAGCTCCTGACCTTCTAGCAGTTTGACAGCATGCAAATGCAAGTAGATAAATAGGTACCATATCGGACGGAAGGTAACAACAATGTTAAGACCCTTTCTGTGATCTTATGGCCACCATGACTATATGCATATAGTCATGCTGGCCATAAGACCATGGAAAAGGTTTTCAGACAACACTGGCTTCTTCGGCTAAGAAACAGAGATGACCATTGCCTGCAAGAATCAGACATGACTTGATAGGGAAACCCTTTATCTTTATACTGTACATGGTATTGCCTATAAAAGGGAGAGAGATGCTATTTGAGTCAGTACAAAACTAACTTGTAAAATAGCTAGTTCACACAAGAGGGAGCTCTTGACTGATTTTTATTTCCTGCAGCAAGCAAGTCTAAGTTAGTGCTTTGGCAAAAGCCCAAACATAGATTAAATGCAGCCAGTG